TACGACTAAAATCTGTACTATTTGGGATATTTATCTCTTATAATTTCAGATGAGTAAGGAATACTATAATTAAAAATGTAAGTAAAATTAAAGAAACCTATTTGGTAAAATATATATTCTATACTAAATTTCATCAAGAACAGTGCAGCCGTTTCAAAGATATATGGTCAAACATTTGCATTCTTAATATTTCATCATCACCAGCTCACTATATGTCCCTAGAGAGTTGGAGCCTTCCCTGTAAGGGGTAACTAGGCTTTAGTCAACCATGCTGGCCCACTGCGGGTTCTATTAGTACGACAGAATGAAATCACAATGAAATATGTATGTATGTATGTATGTTGGTAAAGTAAGGAATAAAAAGTTAGCATGGTATGGACATGTTATGCGGAGGGATGAATTGCGTGTTACAAGGAGAATGTTAGTGATGAGTGTGGAAGGGTACACCGGTAGAGGTAGACTTAGAAAAAGATGGATGGATTGCGTGAAAGGTGACATAATCAAAAAGGGAGTGATGCGGAGTTGCGTCGAGCCAACGGGTGTAGGATAAGGAGAAAGATGATGATGTATGTTGGTACTCACAGCGCAGGTGACAGCCTTGCGGTGGCCCACGAAGTCCTTGTCGCAGCGCCAGCCGTCGCGCTCCACGACCTGCGCGGTGGGCCCGCCGCCGTTCATCGCGTGCGCCGACAGCACGTACTGCCCGTCCGGAGACCACGACAGGCGCAGCACGTGCGTCGTGCCTGATCGCCGCAGCACAACACCACATCACACCACACTCAGATACATTTCCTTCTACCACTACCTTGTACATAACAAGAGCCAATGCAATGGCCTCCAAGTCTGATGGCACACCAAGGCAATTTTCCTTTCTATATAAACATCTATACACTAGCTTTTGACTGACTTCAATACAATGATTATAAAAAAACATACAGACGGATTGAGTACCTCCTTCTTTTTGGTAATTGGTCAAAAAAATTAAAAAGTAGTCTCTGTTTTTCTAAAGTATGTTCTAATCTATGACAAGTTTCGTGGAGATTATTTCCATTAAGACTTTTGCAGAAACATAGTAGCAAACATTGATGTATATAAATTTTTGCATTTATTTGTATGGTTTACCAAGTTGTAGGTGGAGTTTTTACAACTAGCACCTACTCTCACTCTTTCAACGACGGATCCAGGGGGCGGTCATGGGGGTCATGACCCCCCCACCCCCGAGCTGGTTGGTCAAGAGCTTGACAAAATATATTTACATGTTTTGTCAAGCTGACTTAAACACAACTATGTGACCCCCCTGGCGCATAAGCTGGATCCGCCCTTGCAGTCTTTGACATTTGTTCTGTTGTGGAATAAAATGTAATTCGATAACCAATATCAGAAGCTGTTGATTACAATGTTTCCATTTTAATTGCTAAAATAAAATAAACCTTACCACCACATTCCTCAAATGGCTCTGTTATAACAGTTTCCTGTGCCCAATCCGCGGTCTTCCATACTCTTAGTGATTTGTCATCAGATTGAGATGCCAAATATTTACCAACCTAAAATTAATCAAATAAAAATAAAAACAACATATAGAAAAAAAAGCTAATCCTAGGCAAATTTATTTCCTAATTAGGACAACAGAATAACTACTCACAGGATCCCATGCAACACCTTTGACTAGACCTTTATGTCCATTGAGTACACAGACCATCTCCGGAAACTTCACTGCATTCCATATTATAATAGTATTGTCAACACTGCAACTTGCCAGCCATTTATCTAGTGGTGACCATGCTAGGTCTAGGACATCCCCTAAAATATATCACATATATTTACCGGAACATTAAATATTAATAAAGTTATATAAAAAATGTATATATTTGTAATAAACAAAAGGAACTCTTTAATTTAAGAAGGAATATGCAACCAAAAAAAAAAAAGGCAAACTGTGCAAAAAAGAGTATAAACCAAGAGTCTGTAGATTTAGATTTTAAAAAAATATATATTTCACAATTGAAATCTGTTATTTTTAACATTAATCAATTAGTTTTTGCCTGTGATTTTATTGTTCAGAATTAAAAAAAAATCTTTGTAAGTGGCCTATAACATTTCATTCCAGAGTATGTTTTACATTTTGTATATATATAGTAACAAACATCTATCCATCCATATAAACTTTCATATTTATAATTTTAATTAGAAACAAAATAAATGACATTGATATCTGTTTTCTTGCTTTATTATAGTAGAAATTGTAATTCTTTTACTTTTAAATTTCTTTAATATATTGTAACATACCAGCATGTCCTCTTAATGTAGCTAAGCATCTCCATGTCTCGGCTTTGTGTTTCCCAGGAGCTGATGGAGCAACACTCAGTCCCCACACCATCACAAGTCGGTCATCACCCCCTGATGCCAGGTATCGGCCACCATTACTCCACCGCACACAGTTCACACAAGCTGGAATATATTAACAAATTTCTTTAGACATTAGATGAATAATGATGAATTGATTCTGTCATGACACAAAATAAACTTAATTTTTAATATTGGTGTGCCATTATACAAATATTAATTATAATAATTTGCACACAATCAAGATTGTAAAATAAATCTGATTTCCATTATATGTAAATTGGCTACTAACCTAAGTGATTATCCATTTGACAGAGCATTTTGGGTACATTTGGGTCCACTTCAACAGTTTCAAATAAAACAGAGTTTAAGTTCCAAACAACAACTCTCCCGGAGTCCCCGCCTTGTCCACCAGTAGCAAAACGTTTTCCCGTTGGATGAATATCCACAGAAAATATTGGCTTATCTATAAAAACAAAGTTTTGTTTGAAAATCAAAACACGACATAGATTCGAAATTATCATGCAAAATCATAAAACATACCATCATGATTAACCCAACTGGGCTTTAGAAGCTTCATTTATGTTGGTGGTAAGCTAGTTGTGTTAAAAATATGCTGAAAATAGGAATATATTGCTTTTATTTATTTTAATGCAAATGACAATGACAGAAATATACCGCCCGAACTTAAGATGTTGGTTTCAGAACAAACCAATTGTTTGATTTCTATTTATGTAAGAAAGTATATGATTTTATGTTGTATGTTCTGATTTATAATTATATATCATATTCATATACTTGTACAGAGAAAGCGTTAATCATTTATTTTCAAATATTAAAAGATAAGACTTTTTTTAAGCTGTGAATTCCAAAAAGTTAGGTTTCCGAACTTACTTGCTCTGCAAACAATGTTACCCAAATGAAAAATTTTTTCATGAACTTTCTGTGAGTTTTAACTACTAAACTGATTATTTACAAAATTATTTTTACTTATTGATTAATAGCAAAAATAAAGAAAAGGGGTTCAGTGACACATTTACAATTTTTAAAATACATGTTAATTAATTTAAAAAAGTTTAATAGCAACATTCAACGTTGTCATGGTGACAGCGACGGTGACATCAAAATTGGTGGCTTGGGGAATTTTAAATCTGCGATACAAAGAATAATATTTTTCTCGAAATTGATCTAAGTATGTCAGCAAATTACGTGATGCAACTATGTATTTGCTTTACCGTTGTAATTCTGTATTTGATTACTATTAGTTTAATGCCTCTATATGGATTAATTTTTCTTTAGGCATGAGAGGCGCCGAAACTATAATACCAGCGCGTTTTCTGACCCTGCTTGGCCACTTTTGCGTCCTGATTACCTTGCTATGGGAGAGCAAACAGAGCGTACAACACTGTATGCCGACACCACTCCACGACACTCACTTCCAGATATATCACAGGCGGTAAGTCAAATTTTAAAGGACGTTTCTTACGCACGTTTGAATTTTTCATTTGTTTCTACTTCAATGGTTTAAATCTAATAAGAGTATTATTTTAATCAATACACTATTTTTTTTTTGTTAATTTCTACAAGTTTCTCTCACAGTTTCTCAATCACAAAATAATTTATGCTTTTTATTAATTCATAAGTAAAATTGTATTAGCCTGTATATCTATTTATAATATATGCTTATCTAGAATAAATAAAATATTTTTTTTAATTCAAATAACATAATTAAAAAATATTATATCTGCCTACCTACAATCCATAAAAATGTTTACATAAATAAAGCTTCACATTACATGCCATATAGAAATTTAAAAATACTCATATTTACATAGTTTTAAACTGTCCTTTCATAAACTACTTTAGTTGATTTTTACTGAAATCCTGAAAGATATTATGAGTCATCGAAGTCATTTTCAAAATTTGAAATAATTCAAAGTACATAAACAACTGGTGTTCATTACAGATCACACTTGACTGCAGATATAGTTATTAAGGTATATTAGACATATCCTTAAACATTAGAGACAGAAAATAACTATATACTATTGTCTTATACCTGTCTCGAAAATATTATTCTACCCTTTGATACAAATAATAATAATAATAATTCATTCATTTGTTGTCTCTTTTGCATACATTTCATGAAAGTCTTGGCTCCTCTAGTAGGTCGCCCTGTGTCACAAAAGCCAATTCCTTCCCCAATACTTCATTATAATTCTTTTAATGTCTACACAAAGAAAACAAAAAAATACATTACAATTAATGAGTTATTTTGAAACTATTAAAAAAGGTACAAGAAAATTTAAGGTAACATTTTCGAATAAAACAATTATAATTAACAAATACAAATATATTATTGGTAATAGCAAATTACAAGTCATAATGTTAAAAAAAAAGTTAGATATTTTAAACAAAAATTGTATTAAACATAAGACTATTTCCACCTATCATCCTTTTAGTTTTCACCTATGTTCATAGTTTTAGCTTTTTACAAAGTCCATTGACCTCTATAAATGGGTAGGCTGTAAGGCATAGTGTTTTGCATCTATTTGATTATCTCACTTTTGTATGCACATAGTATTTTCTTTATTCTGCACCTCTAAGTTTAACGCGAATGTGACGCGAGACTGAATTTGATAGTGGTCGCACGCCATCACGTGTTTAATTTATAAGCGACGAAGCGTCACGTTCCATCGCCACTAACCCATGTAGTTTTAGTTGGCATTTCTCATCCCAAATGTACAAGAAATCAATAAAATCGCATATACTTAACTAGAAAAGCAATGTGTTTTCACGAAGTGAAAAAAAAAGAAATCGAAAGCCGATTATGCAGTCTCAATAATAAAAAATCAACAAAAAAATTGGAGTGACAACACTATGCTGAAGGGTAAAAAAAAGTCTTATAATTAACCGAAAGGTAACGGAAGCCAGGTGGGAAGTGAGGTCACGTGAGTGTATAGAAACAATAATGCAGTAGGAGCTGGATATAACCGGATCGTGTCTAAGTAGCCAAGGACAGCTGTTTGGGTTAAGCGGTTCATTGTGAGTAACGTGTGAGCTCTCGATCGATACGCAGACTTGTGTCGGATATCGGAATGCGTAGGGTTGCTTACTGAATATGTTTTTATGTTTCTTATTCATATATCGTAAATAGTCTGTGATAAATCAACTTTGAAATACATCCCAAAACTGAACGTAAGAGATTCGATTCGAGAGCGCGTTTCATTGCATTTTTTTACCGGCTTTTCAGTTATTAGCGATTACAGCTAAATTCAAAAAGACGAAATATGAAATTTTTATAACTCAACAAATAAGTAGAGTTCCTTTCTCAGTTTTGATACCAATGGGTAATGAATTATGATCTAAAAGTACTTAGAATTAAGCCAATACTGCATTTATAACGTTTAGTCTTTATTGCAAGATATATGACCAGGTGTTTGCTCTATGTGTGTTAGTTTGTCGGTGTGTCTCGTTATCTTGGATTAGAGGGTTTATACATTGCTGTCAGTACTGTACCATCTATTGAGATCTAAGATGGTTTGCACGTGCAATGTTGACTTCAGTGGGCGTTACTGTTGCAATAAATTACGTCAATTTTATTGGGGTATTAAATGGTTTATGGTTTTATGAGTATAGGTGATAACTCAGATAATGTTGACACTTTATGATATGTGTACTATAAGTTAGGTGTATTCGATTTGAGGGAGGTGAAGTTGGCATTGTCTGACAAAATTTAATGTTGACAAACAGTAGACAAGGCCAGATTCTAATGTGAGAGATATGTCTGTCTGATATGAAACGCGGTAGTTGTAATCGTATATCAGAGTCGGTTTTGTACAAATTAATACTGCAAGATATTGCTGTCTGCAGTCTGTAATTCAGTCGTGTGCTGCTGACGATTTTCTCGTCCGTCGGAATCTCGCTTTTACAAAAGTTGTACACGATTTTTGGTACAAATTTCTACGACTTAAGCTGTAACAGAAAGAAAGTAAAAGGTTAATAGTTTACCTGTATTTTTATTTAAAGAGCCAAAGATCGCCATCCCTAAGCAATGTTAATATCCAATAATCCAGTAGCGTCCGGTTAAAATTGCCGTCGGGCGACGTTTGTTTTGCAAACACGAGGTATTGAGTTGGGATGTAGAGGTGATCAGTAACGTTGGCACATTCCTCGGTGCTCGGCCGATACTGGTCTCGTGGACACGTGAAATTATCGATTGTTTGTCGATATTAAAAGTTATTTGTTCTAAATTCGAACCAGTGTTCGGTTTTCGTGTGTGGCTCAAGCCTATTTATGGGGTCTTCGGCCTCTAGCGAAGTATGGAATTTTTTTTTTATAATTTTCGTATTTGAGAGTTTTTTTTGTGTAATGTTTATTTTTGTATAGAATGGTGTATAGACGTCTGTAAACACGAATCTTAGTTCAAGGTAAGTGACAACGCTAGTGACGTATTTGAACAGTTTACGTAAATTGTTAAGTTGGTACAAGTATTATTTTTTTTATAATATTTTTAAATATACTGTAATAATCAACAATCAACAATCAAAACAGTAGCGTAGATATCGGAAATGAAGGCAGAGATGGCGAATTTCCTCCTATACCTTTCTTTCAAAATCAATATTGCTGTGATTTTTTCATGTAGTTTTTTCCATGTCATATAACTAATTAGACTGACTGAATAAATTACATTTAGAAGGACAAAGAAATGTATTTTGTAATTGTAGCATTTTTTAAATTCATCTTTTCAATGGAAAATGTGGAAAATATTTATAACCAATAACCAATATAATGTTAATTATTATAATTTCATCAATCGGTTTTTCAGAGTTAGGCGTGGCAAATTGTTTAAAAGTGCGACTGCAATGTTAATGTCTGACTATGTTTATATAAAACTCTTATTTTCTTATATCAAAGAAGGCATATAGTTCATAAGAATATGTACTAATTACAGATCTTCTAATGTAATATACAATCTTAGTTATTACCACGCTTGTTGAAAAAACTAAAATTATGTTTCTTTTCACATTGTCCTCGTAGTTATTTTTAAGCAATCTTTTAATATCATTTGTCTAATTTATTTATATTAAATTCTGATCAAGAACTACATAGAATTTATTGACTCATAATAATTTTTAATCGTTAATATCCGATTTTAATTTTGTGGTATTTCCAAAATACGCAATGCGGGTTACCTCTGCAGATATTTGTATGAAGCAGGTCAAAGTATGCATTTACAAGACTTCTATTATGCATTAGCTGGTGCCTGCAACTTTATCAGCGTGGAATTAAAAAAAAAAAAGCAAATAGCCTGTTATTCTCGTGTTTGTTTAACAGTGGGCAGATGATGGCTGATGTTAGTTCTTGCATAGATAAGATTGGGAAGTATCCCATTCTAATCTAAAAGTCTCATCGAAATAGTACCAGCCGTTTTGGTGGCTACTTGGAATAAATTCCGATATCTACGTGTCAGTGAAAAATGAAATGTTTTTGATATGTATTTTGTATTACAGGCATCGTAATTTATTAACTGTATAGGTAATGTTGTCATGATGTAACTACAGGTATCATCATTTCCCCTACGTTATCCTACTCCCGTAGAGTCGACACGCCGGGCTTTCGTCCTCCAAATAACCCTATCATCCGTCATCACTCCCTTCTTGAGCCTACTTTCCCGCAAGCCATCCATCTCTTTCTTGGTCTACCTCTCTACCAGCGTACCCTTCCACATACATAACTAACGCCATTTTTACATGCGATTCATAATCCCTCCTCATAACATGGACATACCGTGCTAACCTTTTAACCAACCACTGGCGCTACTCACAAACTTCCTCTAATATAATCCCTTCGTATCTTATACATTCGTGTTAACATAACATAGATTTAACTACTAATACTGGTATGTAGGTATTTAATTTCTCATCAGTAATATTAATCTATTTTACCGCTTTTTGCCAATAGATTGAGATCGAGGTAAGCCATAGAAACTACAATACAATCTTATAGTTACAGTAATGTAAGGTTTCATTGACTTCTATACACATTATATCAAACGTTTTATTTACTTTGTTTAATATAACGTATACAATGAAACAGATGTACTTATTGAAGTTTACATTGTTATTAAATGTTATTCTGCTTTTTATGGATTGACCCTTTCCCCAATGTCGAATCGTATCTTTCTATCTAGTTTGGATAGGTAAAGGATTCCAGTTGATTGTAAATACGTGTCGCCAGCCGATAGATTTTGTATAATGTAAGGGGAAATGAGCAAGCTGCCACCTGAATCCACCGAAATGAAAAGCGACCGCTGCCCATAAACATCCGCAATTGCAGATGCGTTGCCTACCCTTAATTGA